CTTGAACCTGGGAAGTGGAGGTTGCAGTGAACCAAAAATGTACCACTGTACTCCAGCCTGGGTGACAGAGTAAGACTCTATCTCAAAAAATATATAAATTAATTTAAAAAATTCCAAACCTGGGAAGATCGGCCCTCTTTAAATGGAAATGTTTTGCTATGAGACCAGAAATCCTTGCTGTGCACTGGCTGCTCCCTATGGCTCAATTGTGGTTGTTGCTATATATTCAAAGTTTTCCCAGTGCAGAAACAAGGACTTAGGAGGGTTTATCTCTGGAAGGAATAAGCAACTGAGCTCTGACCCCACTGATAAGAACTGAAAAATAATATCAATAATAGCTACTAACATTCTTGAAAGCTTACTATATAACAGGTCCTAAGCTATGTTCTCATTTCATCCTCACCGTAACCCTGTTAAGTGGGTTCTATAATTATTCCCATTGTACTGGTGAGGAAACCAAGACAGGAGTAAGTGACACAGGTCACAGAGCAAGTGAGAGGCAGAGCCACGTTTTTCAACCCAGGCGGCCTGGCACCAAACCACCCTCTTGACAGCTGGGTTTCACTGACCCTTCAACAACCGCAAGGTAATCCTAAAGTCCTCAGATTCCAGCTAGGGCCAACGTATACTGTAGAGCTTGCCCTGCATGACTGGGTTTAACCAGACAGGTGAGCAAATGGTGAGCCAGGGTTGCCACAGACAGAGCAAGGTAACCTCAGGTGCCCAGAAGGGATTCTGTTTGGGAGCAGAGAGCAGAGTCAGAGGAGTACAGCTACTTCACTCCAAGTCTCTGTAACTTCTAGTGGGAGATCTGAGACCTAGGAAGGGCATTGTGGTGGATGGGCCATGGTGGTGATCAGACAGAAGGGGAGGGCAGTGCTTAGAAGTTCAGGAAAGAAGACAGGGCATCACACAAGTTCAATGGTGGCCAGCATGGACCAAAATACCAGCCTGGAGTTTGGAGTGAGGGGGTCCAGTCCATGGGAGCGAAACTGGCAGATTATCATATGGCCAGGGCTCAGGGACTGTAGTTGGTACCAGGGTTCGGAAACAAGGCCATCTCCAGTTACCAGACCCAGGACACTGTCCAGATCAGATGAGCAGAAAGGGTAGCTAGCTTAATGTTGAGGGAGAGGTGCTAAAGACCCTTGGATGTCACCTACGGAGGCTGGACTTCATACTGTGATCTCACCTGGTGGGCTGCTATATACACGTAATATCACAAACTGGGGTGATATTATGTCTTCCTTCTAATAATCTCTCAAAAACTCATTGTGTATAAATGATCTTCTGTGTGTAAAAGCGAGTGGATGCTCGTGCATTAAAGAGCTGTAGAAATTTTTTTAAAGTGAGTGGGTATATGGTTAGCCCTAAAATAGTGTCAGTTTCACATTCTGACTTGCTTCTTGAGCAGGAGAGTAAGAGATACAGATGTAGTTGGCATGTTTGCATACCCCTTGGGATGCCGTGTGAAAGTGCCATGCGTGTCTATGTCAGCTTATATATCACAATCGAGAAAAGGCAGAAAATTGCCCTCCAACACAATGGGAGTTGGTCTGAGGGTGTGCAAGGGTGAGATAGGAACAATTGTGTGTGAGCCCTTCTGTAATATTTGAATGAAATAGATAGATTAGATAGATATAAGATAGAGACATAAAATGACAATAAAAATATATTTGACTATCAGGGTTAGTACCATAGTAAATTAAAGGCGTGGGGGTCATAGGGATAATATGTCAATATATTGTCACAGCCAGGTAAAATAAAGACAATCTAACTGGCAGATACAAGAATCAAAAAAAAAAAAAAAAAGACAGTAGCCAGGGACCATTTAATGTGGTCATAAAAAGGTTCATACACCTCTCGGAAATCATTATAATGTTGCACGTGTTAGACCTTATGGGCCCAATTTCGATGCTAAGTCCTCCAGTTAAGATGAGAGTATCCCCTTTACATAGTATTTAAAGAGGCAGGGAGCCAAGAAACATATATTATTAGCAAGATATTCATCAAAAGTAGCTAATATCACAAGTGAAAGAAGACATTGTTCTCCTGTTCCTTTCCTTCACAACGCTTAAGCTGTGGTACATTTTTTATTTAATCCTCATTGAACCTCACAAACCGTATGCCCTGTGCGGGCAAGGACCATGTTCGCCCTGGCTTCCCCCGGAGGGAAGCACCTTTCTGGAGGTTCTCTTTCCTTGAGCCATTTGCAGCGTTTGTCCTGCTCTGGATCTGCTCTGAGATGAGATGTGGGAAGAGGTGTGGTCTTCTTCCCAGAAGCCTCTGAGATGTTTTCCACCGAGTCCTGCATCAAACGGAAGAACTTCACCCACTTCCTCCACTCCACCTAGCTGCCTAGGAATGTCTGCTGCGATTGTTGCTGCAAAGCAAAGCTTCCACTTTAGTGAAAAACCTCAGTACTGCCTCAAACGTCAAATATTGGGCTTATAAAATTCTATTTCTGTCTTCTCCAGGTTTCTAGACAGAGACCTAGAAAAAGGGCCTAAGTAGACACAGTGGTGGGAGCCCCAGGACCCTCAGTTCAGTTCACAGCTGACCGGGGGCCCAGCAGTTTCATCCCTGAGATCTGCGCTTCTCCAGCAAGGAAGCCTCCTCCTAGGGGGTAGCCAGCCCCTGCCAGAGGGTTCGGATCCACCACACAGCTGTGACAGTGCCCCAGCCCCATAAGAGAAGGGGGCTGGGAGCCTCCACACCTGGGTCCCACTGTTGGACTCAGGCCACCCCCACTCCAAGGTCACTCTTTGTGCTGGACCCACCTGGGGAGGCCCCACCCAAACTCCCATTGTCTGCACAACCTCCGTCTCACCCCCTCTTCCCTTCTACCTGCCTTCCCTCCCTTCTCTTCCTCATCTCCCACTCTCCCTCCTCTTCTTCTCCCTCCCTCTCTCAGCACTGCTATCCTCCCCTCATCCCTTCTCCCCTTCTTTCTCCTCCCTGACTTCCTTTCTCTCTCTCCTCCCCTTTCCCTTCTTATTCCTTATCAGATGAAATAGGTCAAAGAGCTAGTTTTTCTACTCCAAGCATCAAAGCTTCCTCGCCTCCAAAGGCTTTTCCCAGTGACCTAAAGGCAAAAAATTCAGCACACAATAAACAGCTATTAATTTGCCTCCCTTGGTTAGAGAGATGGGGCTATTCATGCCCAGAAAACACTAATCTGAAGAATCGGAGCTATTTTAAACAGACAGGTCTTTACTGTTACTGCTCTCCTTTTAAAGAGCCACGCATTTGCTTGACTGGAGGCTTCTCACAGGGCCTTGCTTCCCCCACCCAGACGGCAGGTCTGGAAGATGATTACAGAGGTGTTTATGAGGAACAAGAGTTGAAGAAAAGTTCCTAAATGTCTAGCAAATGTGGACTCACAGGAAGGGCTCTGGTGGAGCTTGGGCCAGACCTCTCCCCAGCCCTCCCACCCTGTGCAACTCCAGATGAAGCAGGCAGAGGGATGTTCTCTGGAAGCAGAGGAAGTTTGAGTTTCAGGGCCCCTCACTTGGTCTGGCCCTCCAAGGCCCTGGGAAGATCCCCAGCACTGTGTTCCCATGGTCTTATATTTTTGTAAGATTTGTAAAAAAAACATCGTTTCAAAGGGTTCAACTGCTGTTTCTTTCCCTACTGCTTTCTTTTCCTCGTACTTCTCCTCTGATCAGATGGTATTGGAATAGCTGTGGGCATTTGGGAGATCCAACTAAGGGGAAGCTGAATTGAGAGTGCATTTAGTTTAGATTGAATGGAATACATTCGCGTGGGCTGCAGTCACTTCTGTGCGTGGCTAAGCCACTGCTGTCCACCCCAGAGTAAGAACAGCTTACAGAAATAATTAACAAGGCTGAATTAAATATAAACGTGTCCTATGGTGGCTGGCATCAGAACTCTGTGGGTAGTGGAGGAAAAACAAGGTTTGAAATGCACTGAGCCAGACTGGAGACTCTGTTGAAAATTCTTCTAATCATGATATGTGTAAAATACAGTGTTCGATGATGCCTTGTCAAAATTCAGGAAATTCAGGAATATATTCAATGACAAAGCATGGACACTAATAAGTACACTGTGCATTGCTTATGGGAATTGCATAAAATAAAATTTATCAGAAATCTTGCATTTGCAGGGCATTACCCCGTAGCAGTGAGGCACGTTGTAGCGTGTCTGTGTGTAAGGAAGCGTGCTTTAATGCCTTCCAACTATCAACAATTTTGATCAGTCTTGCTAATGGAAAGACTGCCTTATCTTTTTATTCTCTAGTAAAAAATCATTATCGTAAAGAGAGTAGCAAAGTCAGTAGGCAAAAATTCTAGAAGAAAATTATTTTAGTGGTGTGTCATGCAACTAATTGGAATATTTTGTATTTTTTTCTGGATTTTGAGATGTCTATTGCATTTGCCAACTTTAAAAACATGTATTTTTGTTTGTGATTTATCCTTCTGAAAAGTCACTTTCACTCCCAATTTTGTATTTATATTTTTGCATTATTTTCCTTAAAGAGAGAGCCCCCAAATTGTATACACCTCAGGCTCCACAGTCTGAATCCTCCCTCTGGGCAGACTCTAGAAAAACGTTCTGTGTTCTCTGCCTCGAGAAACCCTGCTCCAGGCTGGGCACACAAATTCCCAGGGCATTTTAGTCAATGGGTGGTTGCAGAGGTACCAGGTCTCCTTCCCTCTAGAATGTGTGTTTTTGGGGCTATGGAGGTCTTTTTCCTGGTGGCTGTTATCCCAGGTTCTCAGCGATACTTACCTTGCTGGGAAAGAAGTAGAGAAGAGCTGCTGTTGATGCTTAAGTTCTTCAGCATGCTGAGGCCCAGCTGTTTAAATTCTCATTTTGGTATAAATCTGAGGCTCTTTTGAATCAAGAATAGGTAGGATCGTTTTCTGCTAAATCTTTCCTCAGATTCACATTATGTTTGGGTTAGGTCATCTGACACTCAAGACTGTCACATGCCTTCTACAGCAGGGCACTGACCAGTTTTTGTTTTTCTTCAACAGAGTTGGTGTGGACCTGGATGAAAATCTGAAGGAGGACCCCTCCCCACAACACCAGGCAAGTCAAAGAAACCAATGCATAGAATATAGAGATTTGATTGGCTGTTCCATGTTTGTCCAGCATGTGGCCAAGGGGCTCATTCTAAATGGAGCTTCCTCTGCTGATAAAACAAATGAGATTACAATATAAAATACATGGGAATTCAGGATGTTGATAACTTTTTGCATATCAATGCTTAGAACTAGCACATACTTGCAAGCCTCTCTATGGCAGCAGGAAGCCTGGAAACTTTATAAAGTACCAGCAAGACCATGATGGCTCTTGGAATGAGGCACTCCATAGTTCAAATCCCTACCAAGCAACTTGCTAGCTAGCTGACTCAGTGAAATTTACACAAAGCATGTCCAATGCATGTTGCACAAACAACAAATTGACTTATTTCTCCTGGAGAGCTTCTCATTTATCAGGTCTGAGGACAGAGAAACTGTCTAGGTGATCCATTCCTGATTTAACTGAGCAAAATTATCTACAGATACCTGAAAATTCTTTGGGGTAATTGTTTACAACAATGCACTCTTCCCTCATGTATTAGCTCATTTTCATGATGCTGATAAAGACATATCCAAGACTGGGTAATTTATGCAGGAAAGAGATTTAATGGACAGTTCCACATGGCTGGAGAGGCCTCACAATCATGGCAGAAGGCAAGGAGGAGCAAGTCACATCTTACATGCATGTCTCAGGCAAAGAGAGAGCTTGTGCAGGGAAACTCCTGTTTTTAAAACCATCGGATCTCGTGAGACCACTCACTATCATGAGAAGAGTACAGAAAAGACCCACCCCCATAATTCAATCGCTTCCCACCAAGTTCCTCCCACAACACATGGGAATTGTGGGAGTTACAATTCAAGATGAGATTTGGGTGGGGACACAAGCAAACCATATCACCTCAGGTTGGGGAAATGCTTCTCCAAACTGAATTTGAACCTAACGTCAAAGTAGAATCTGTCATTGTCAGTTTTGCAGTAGCCATTTTAAACTCAGTACTTAAACAAGCAAATGTAAGAAAATTTTACACCTTTTGCTGAAATTAGAAGTAGGTGAACACAGACATAATAGGAAAATATCATAAATAAATGATATTGCTTAATGAATTGTGTTATGAGCATATTTATATTCAAAAGGAATCCCTCTTTCTCTCTTATTTCATGTTTATTTTTCCTATAATGCCCTCAATGAGGCACAGCTGGTAACTTTTCCTGGGCAAGACGCTGCTTTCCTGGCACACACAGATGTGAAAAAGAAAGGAGCCTGTGCTCTGAGGAAAAGGCTGGGAAATTAAGTTGGTGATGATCCTGACTCTCATGTACTTTGAGGTTTTTTTGTCACATATAATCCAGAGCCAGGCAGTTTCCACAGACTCCATTGCCCAGGAAACACACCTAACTGCAGGACTGAGCACAGCAGGCGTGCCCAGAGTGCTGGGATTAGAGCCAGCCTGGTGACCTTAGAAAGGAGATCAAAGCCCATCTCCTTACACTGGTGGGCTATAATGAAAAGTCAGTAATGTTTGGTGGTGGTTGATTTTTAAAAAGCATTTTCATCTTGTGTAGGTCAAATAATTCATTCTCTTACCTTCAAGCAACACTTTTATCTAAATTTTGCCCTTCTTGTATACCTTTTTCTTTAGAAGATAAAAAGACAGAATTATAAAATTCATCAAAGAAAATTCTCTTTTTCTAACTGCCTAATATTCTACAATCATATACATTTATTGATAAAATTTCTGACTAGCCTAAATCCTTCCTTTTATAATTTTTTTTTTTTTTTTAAGACGGAGTTTCGCTCTTGTTACCCAGGCTGGAGTGCAATGGCGCGATCTCGGCTCACCGCAACCTCCGCCTCCTGGGTTCAGGCAATTCTCCTGCCTCAGCCTCCTGAGTAGCTGGGATTACAGGCACGCGCCACCATGCCCAGCTAATTTTTTGTATTTTTAGTAGAGACGGGGTTTCACCATGTTGACCAGGATGGTCTCGATCTCTTGACCTCGTGATCCACCCGCCTCGGCCTCCCAAAGTGCTGGGATTACAGGCGTGAGCCACCTCGCCCTGCCTCCTTTTATAATTTAAATGTATTTTGTCTCATTCATGTGACACTTTAAAAGAAAGTTCATCGTTAATTGAATTATAACTCTTACCTGAAGATATTATACCAGTAAAAGTAATTTTTTTTATTAGAGAAATAGGATAGCATAACATAGAACAGTGAAAACTCTGTGATATTTGGGTCTTGGGCAGGGCATTTACACCTTTGGGTGTCAGTTTCCCTCTCTATAAAATGTAAATGATGACAACGTCTACCTCTTCAGGCTGTTATGACAATCAAGGGAAATTAGGTCTATGAAAATGACCCAACTTAATTAAGCTAAACCCATCTCATTTTATGAAAGATTGGAGACAGCTTAAACCACCACATAAAATCAGAATAAAATACTTTTATAGAATTTTAAAATTCAGTACAAAATATTAATAAGAGCAGATAGTCAAAACCAGAGGAGTAAAAATATGAATAAGCAGATCATAAGATCTTATATACTTGCTATAGTCAAACCATAGGCAAGCTTTCTGATGGCCAAAGGGGAAAAATAATTAGGAATATATTAAACTTATATCATTAGAAGGAAAAATCATACACTCTCCTTAAGTGATACAAACGTTGCTATGTTTTTAAAGTAATTTCTCACTTGGGGCCTGCCATAGAGGACACATAAAGTGCTATCTAAATGTTAAGGAAGTAGCCTTATCACGGACGTGCTCCTCCTGAACTGCTGCTGCCTACAAATGATTTTACTTTTAAGAAGTGTCCTGTGAGTGTGTTTATTCATGATGATGTTTGATTAGCAAAGTAGTTACATTTCAGAAAGAGGTTTTCTCCACACATTGGGATAATTCTTATCTTCAGTATCAAGTACAGGAAACAGTGGGCTCTAAAGGGAGATAGAAAGAGCTGAGTTATCCGCACAGCTGCACCTCCACCTGGACCATTTTCTGGTACTTTCCAAACTGTCAAGAACCTCTCTGCTCTCATTTTACCTGGCAACACTTACTATCAGCATCTCTTGCTCTGTTGGATTATAGAACATAACCCCAATTCTTAGGTGGATTGTATGTTTTCCCTTGATTTGCATTTATTAAACTGGGTTTGCATCAACAAATAGGTTAATCTTTGTAATAGGCAACCTTAACACAGAAACAAAAGATCCTATTCTTACTTACCAAAAGCTAAAAATTTTGCAGGTAGTTATGGCTGTTATTGATTATACACTCTCAAAATCAAGAATAAACTCTGTGTGTGTGTGCGTGTGTGTGTGTGTGTGTGTGTGTGTGTGTGTGTTTAAATTTTTTCTTTGTTTTCTGTTGTGGAAAGTGAAGTCACTTTTGGGAATATGAACTTGTAGCTGTGGCTAACTAGTAATGTCACAACTTTCCTTTTTGCCATATAATACCTTTAGGATGTGAATAGTGTTACACAATTATTTGCACCAGGCACAAAAGCTTTAGAGAGCATGTTCTGTATGTAGATATTATACTCTGAATGGATACGTCATGCAAACATGCTAATTTGAGAACTGGAAGATACTGCAGTTGTGAATTTTATGTCTCTTAAATGTGAAAAACAAAACCCTCAGATACCCTCCCACACAAAAGGAAGTTTCCCTTGTAATTGATTCCTTGAACTTGAAAGCACACCTTTCCAGAGTAGGTGAGAGTCACTGGAGCACCACACTTGCTTTCAGTCTTTTAGCTGCTGCTACTCGAGGAAGGCTGTCAGTATTCTTCTCTTTTTCCCTTTTGCCGTTCAGTGGTATTCATTCCCACATTTGTTGGGCACTAGCTATTATTCTTACCACTGCTCTAAGCACCTTATCTGTGTTCACTCAATTTCCAAGATAACCCTGAGTAGGTACTATTATTATCTGTATTTTATAAATTAGGAAAGTGTATACAGAGACAATAAATAACTTGCCCCAAAACATACAGAAGCTAGAGGTGGAATTTCAACCCAGACAGTTTGGTGCCAGAGCTTGCACTCTTAACTGGTAGGCATGCATGTATTCATTCATTTATTTGTGCAAGTAATGATTGGTACCCATTCCTGTGGCACTAACCTAGATGTGAGGAGGAGTTAGGAGTCACCAATTCAAAGCTGTCTTCCTCCCAGAGTGTATACTCTAATGGATGACACTGATAAGAGAAAGGTAAACTACATCCTGTATGTTCAAAGCATGATTGCAGTAAAGCAGGTCAGAGAATAGAGAACAAGGGAGGAGGCTGCTTGGTCAGGGCAAGCTTCTCTGCGGAAGTGGCATTTGATCAGAGGCCAGATGATGTATGAAGGAAACAATCCATGTGAGAAGGGGTTGAGTAGAGGTGGTCTGGCAGAGGCTGCAGCAAGATGGAGCTGCCCCAGATTCACAGTGGGTTATGGTGTGCACAAAAGCAGCAGGAGGGCCAGCGTGGCTGGAGCTGAGTAAGCAAGGTGGGAGCAGAAGGAGAAAAAGTGGGAGAAAGACAGGGGCAGGAGCCAGACCATTGGCTGTGGTGTTAGGTTTGAATTTTTTTCTAATGTGATAGACACCCTTGATGGTTTGGCTTGGAGCCTGGAAGTCATAGAATTAGCTTGTTTAAAAAAAAATTCTCCCCATTTTATCCTGCCAGCTGTTATAATGAGGATAATTTTCATCTGCTTTCATACAATTTCATTTTCTAACACACTGTGCTTGTGTCTTCATGGTTGCTCGATGTTCCCTTCCAATTTTCTTTTGTTTCTGAAAGTCCCTTCACTGAAATTCTGGTTTGGGCTGTCCTTTGTTCTTGTGTGTCACCTGGGTGGATCAGTTCTGGTCACTGCAGCACATGAAAGTCAGCAGAGCTGAGAAAGGTCTGGAGAAGGGCAGCTTCAATAACTGATAGAGGGACCTGCTGCCAGAGCAATGGGGAATAAAAGGGTTAGGATTTTTCCATCAGAAAGACTAGAACGAAGGAGGGACACAACAA